GGTCAATGTCCATCCCAAATAGGCTACCAAACATGACATTGTTATCCATGGGAGAATGGCTCTGGAGATTGGAAAAGTGCCAAGAGTGAGGAGTCAGGGATTCTCAGCAGTCAAAGAGCTGCTGAGTCTAAGTGATGTATGGCAAGACCAGAGTCCCTTCAAGATGGTCCTGAGAAGACAGGAGGCCCTAAGTTTCCATACAGACCAAGATGTTGGAAATGCTAGAGCCATGAGACATCCACCAAGAGCTATACACCAGGAGTGGAACCAGCTCAAGGAGATGTTTCAAACAGCAGAGCTGGAGGGGATCGGAGCCATCATGAGATGGCCATGAGCCGATAGAGCCAGGGAGTGTAATGTAATAGTTTGAATTAAATATCAATATTAATATCACCTATAGGCTCAGGTATTTGAACACATGGTCTCCAGCTAGTGGCACTTTTTGAGGAGATTGTGGAACCTGTAAGAGTTGGAGCCTTGCTGTAGGAAGTACATCACTGTGGGCAGGCTTTGAGACTGTATAGTCTTATTCCACTTCCAGTTTACTTTCGTTTCTCTGTGTGTCTCTAAGTGTCCTGCTCTGGCTGCCTGCCACCATTAGGGACTCTTATCCTTGGAGCTGTAGGCCAAAATAAATTCCATCCATAGGTCACTTTTGTTAATGATTTTTCATCACAAAAAAAAAAAAGAAAAGAAAAACCCAAACAGTAAAGGGCAATCACAAATTTTTATTTTTATTGTTCTAAAAGCTAACTGGTGATCTAAAGGAAAAATTTATAGCTGTAAAGTCAACACATAGAATAAAATGTATGACAAAAACAAAGGTGGGAGGAAGGAAGGCTGAGTATTTCACCTTGATGCCTGGCAAGCCCCAGGGATCTAGGAGACATCTCACAAAGAAACCTGAAGTTTAACATACTCTGCTCTACAATCATCAGTCTCTTCAAACTTGCTCCACGAAAGCTCCCCATGCCAGTTATTGACCAACAATTCAATCCTTCCAGGATTTCAGCCTAAGCCCTTGGAAACTGCCTTGATCAGTCCTGTTCTCTAACACTCTACCACACACTGACCCCTCTGTCTCCAAACATTCGTGTCAGAGTTGACACTTCATATGAACCTCACTGCCTCCCATGGATTACAGAAAGAAAATCCTAGTAAGTCTCTGCTTACACAGTTTTTCCATAACAGATTATGCTCAATGCTACAGCCAGAGTAATCCTTGATCAACATATGACCCACCTCTGTAGGTGTCCAATGCACTCAAATTAATACCAGTCTTCAGCTGCATGAAATGCTCTAGGAAACGTGGCACACCTCCAAGTATCCTCCCTTTGTTAAGTCCTACATCCTTGAGGTATTTTAGAACTTGCCCCTGGTTTACTCCTAGGATGCTGTACTAGTCTCCTTGGAAAGCAATAGTCAGAGCAAACATGCCTGTCTCAGGATTTGACAAGCTTGCTCCCTTGGCAAGAATGTTCTTCCCCTGGAAAGATATTTAGCTAGTTTCCTACCATCCTTTAAAACATTGCTCAAATCTCACCCTAAGGAAAATTAACTAGGCTACCTAACTTATAACATCCTTCACTTATGTACCAGCCAACCACACCCAGCTCTACTTCTACTGTTTCTGTCTATACTACTTATCATGTTCAAATACAACATATAATTTAACTACTAGATAACACAAGTTCCACAAGAGCCAGAACATCCCTTTTTTTTTTTTTTTCTATTCTAGCCAAGTATCAAGTATAGATCTTGGCCAAAAGTGTGAATAAAATGTGTGAAATAGGACATAAACCTTATGGCACACTGCAATAGCAAATATATTCAGTCACCATAAAAGAGTTGTTCACAGTGGCCAAGTTATGGCATCTGTCTGGGTACCCATAAGCAGATGACAATGTCCATAATAATTAATTATTTAATTATACACATACACACACCATAGTTTCATTCAGCCACGCACACTGAAATTACGCAATATGTAGGCAAATCAATGGACGTGGAGACCATCATACTGCATGAAATAAGCCAAGCCCAGAAAGATGAGTATCACATGTTTTCTCTTATGCGATACTAATTTAGATTTAAAACATCTAAATTAAAAAAAATACTAAGACTTCAAAACAGAGGCGGATTTATTTAGGAAAATAAACATCAGTGCGGGAAGACGGAGGACAAGAGAGGGCAAAGTGAGTGAGGGAGGTCAAAGTCTATGACATCCACGCAGGGAAATACCACAATGAAACCCATTATTTTACACAATTAATATGAACTAGCCAAAAGAAAAAAACCCACTGGCAAAATAATTATAATAACAAAAGCCAAAATAGATAAAATAGAGGAATTACCTACAGGCTACTGCTGAATAAGAACTGTTCAGGACTGCACATATTCTCTTATTTTTGTAAACTAGTCTTTGTGTTTGAGTGCATATGAGTCTGCACTTGTGAAATTAACATTGTATGATTACAGGGAAATACTTCTTTAATAGAAAGAGTACAGGCTGGCTATTCATAATCATTCCTATGAAAAGCCAAAAGTGTTCTAGCTTCCAGATTTGCAGGAAGGGTGATATATAGCTATAGACGTATATACAGATAGATATATAAATATTAAATATGTGGACATGAAATCCAAGTCTACATGGAGACCAGGATGTGATGAAGCTGAAGGAAGGAAATGCAAATGATTCACAAAGGGGTGAGTCTAGAGAAGTAAGGGGTCCCTCTGGAAAGGGAATCCCAAATAAGCCTGTGGAATGTACAAATAGGGCACCTCCCGGAAGATTCCCCAAGCCCGTTATGGACTCTATAGTCTCTGAACTTTAAATCAACAGATAACTTGAATTTCAATTACTTTGTACAACAGAAGTATTATACAAGCACACCTCCTATAAAAATATGATATAGCATCTGTAACTGTCATCACACACTCCAAGGTGGTAAATCCCAAAATCTGTTTAGAAGAACAAGAACATTTCTAAGTGAGGTCCTTTAACACAGCTCCAATCACAGCTGTTACCTCTCAGACCTCTTGAAATACGGTCAGGTAAAACATACATGGGTGACTTGGAAAAAAAGAATTGAGGCATGGTGAAATGGGTAAGGTGTTCTTGTAAGAACATACAGTTTTATCTTACAGTTCGGTTTGATCTTACAATTCAGTTTTGTCCCCTGTATTCATGGAAGGAAAAAAGCAAAAGCCAGTGAAAAGCCATCAGTGACGCCATCCATGGCCTTGTGATTGAATATCCTGTGATAACAACTCTGTGGATAGTAGTCTAGATTACTTACTGTAAGCAGTGCTCTCCATGGTCGGCATGCTAGATGTAATCTGGGTGAAGAATCTTTGTTTTCTTTTTTTTTAAGTTTTTATTATTTTTAATTACTCATATTTACATGTCCATTCGCTCCCATTCCCTCACCCTCCCATCCTCCCATGGAACTCTTTTTTTGAATCTTTGTTTTCTATTAAAGTTACATTAGCAGTATGACATGAGCGCCTACCAATGCTGCAATATTATCACTCGAGATACCTCTTCCCACATCAAGCAGGATTCCCAGCACCAGCATATGAAAAACTCAAAAGAAAATGGACAGCCCAACTACTAAAAACTATCTGAGTACTGCAAAACAAGGATTATGTGATAACTCTTACTTCTGAACAAGTCTGGTGTCTTCGTGAGCACGAAATGTTCTTAATTATAGTTATACCAGAAACATTTAAAGTCCACTTGGGAGTTTTTCAGGCTGTAAGACTAAAACAGAACTAGAACGCCAATGGCATAAGGGGGTCATTTGATGATGGTTGTGCTTGGATTTGAAAGACTGCTGATTTTAACATGTGGTCATTTGGCAACACCTATCCAACTCATTGCTAAATTAAATGAAGTATTAATTCCTGTGTTTTGCTTGTTTACATTTGAGCATCCTCCCAAATAGCCAAACCGATAAAATGTTAATATGTGGGGGTGGGGGGGGCCTTGTTTTTTGTTTTTTGGTTTTTTTCCTCATTTGGGTTACGGAAACTTCTTGTGGGTCTACTAGTCTTTGTTGTTTGTATTAGGGGCTGAGACTGGGGTGTCCAGAGGTATCCTCTGCACCTCTGTTTTTCTAAGTATATGCTAACAAAGCAAAGCCTGAACAGCAGAGAGGGGAAGATGGGCAGGGGTTCTAAAGCATGTTGTTCCATAACAGAATGTTCTAAAAGAACATACGCTTTCCTTTCAGAAACCATGGGCTTGAAGCCTCATTAGTTCGGCAGGCTGTTTAACTTTAGAATTCTGCTGCTTACCTGTTAAATGAGAACTAAGAGCTGGCTCTAAAGAGTATTGAGCTGGTAAAGTCAAATGACATATATGGGCAAAGTACCAAGCATGGGCCCTGCTCGGTGAACCTTGGCCCTGCTTACTCTTCTGTGCTTCTACCCTGCCTCCCCTGGTTCATTTCACATCTGCTAAAACCCACCATAGCTCAAGCCACCATGTTCTAAGATGTGGAGTGCTCTGGTATCCTGTCTTCTACATCTCTGCCAAAAACAGGCAACATCTGTAGTGCGTCATCACACAGACGGGGCAACCTGTGCTTGCACTGTTCGCATGCCTGTGTAGTTCTAGAAGGTGATCCAACGTCAGAATAAAATTCAAAAGAGCAAAGAAAATAGGCCGAAGATTCAGATTATCACCCCAGGGTGGCAGTACTAAAGGACCTCCTCCCTGAGGCCCCCGGGCCTGCACTGCACTCCTGGCTGCCCAGGCCCATCTGCATATGAAGTGAGGGTTACGACTACAGCGACTGTTCTGATGGCAGAGGCCGCCTGGCGCCA